TCTCTTCTCTTCTCTTCTCTTCTCTTCTCTTCTCTTTTCTCCTCTTCTCTTTTCCTTTCTTTTCTCTCTCTCTTTCTTTCTCTCTCTTTCTCTTTCTTTCTTTCTTTCTTTCTTTCTTTCTTTCTTTCTTTCTTTCTTTCTTTCTTTCTTTCTTCTTACAACCATGAACTCAAGACCTTGTGCTTATCAGGCAGGTGCTGTGCTGCTGAGCTATATCCCCAACTTGATGTCTGTCTTTATCTCTAAGAATTAAGCATTATTCTTAGACTCTTTGAAGGATTCATTCTAACTTTAGAGATACTGTATTTAGGTGGGACTTAGATTGGATAAAACATACTAAGTAAAATTTCAAAATATAGACAAGAAAACACAATTGCAGAATATCATGCAAGGGGTCTCTCCAAATGCAATAGTAATATTTCAGTGAGGGTCAGGCTTACCACTAGGAACACCAGAAAGTCATCTTTCTTCTCTTGCTCTGTAGAATTGGTGCCAGAATATACACTTACACGGTTCTGCAGAAGGAAGGACAAGGGTTGAACAAAGAGTTTCGGGATACGTGAGTTTACTCATATAAATATGATTGGCCCATTGAACAGATCTGCGAGTGTTTCTCCAGGTTTCCCAAGGGCAGAAGGCACGTTCCCATTTTCACATGTGTGTGAGTGGCCACTGCTTCTGTCTGAATGAGATGCTGTGATTCTGGGCCAGGTGCACAGATAACCTGGGTCTATGCTAGAAGCCCCACCCCAAGGCATGGGGACAGAACTCACTCTGGGCACTTTTCCCTTTCCTGGGCCACTGTGCTTTGGTGGCCCCCCTCTGCCATCTCTCTTTTCATTGGATGCTTACAAAGACCGTGCTGCTCTCCTGCCCAAAGCCCGTTCTCAGGCAATGAGACCTCAGGCGAGTGCACCTTCAAGACAATGCTGTTTAGCACGGTCGTGGAAATTTGCTCCATGAGGGCACCTTCCTTTCATGTATGTCACTAAAAAATGGGAATTTATTCCTTCTGCATTCCAAATACAAATGTAACGATATTGAGCCAAATGAAAAATATAGTATCTTGGAGGGTGCATCAACACTGATAGCATCAATCCAAAATATTAGGGAGACTCTTTTGTCTGCTATTTAGACTCAATTTGTCCAATGACTTTACTAGTACAAATACCCCCTCTCCCCTGGCTCATTACTCTTTCACAAGAGACCAAGGAAAATCTGTACCTGGAGGCCAACAGGTCTCTTCTTGGGAAGGGACTTCGTATTTTAATTTTTTAAATTAAAGTATTTGGCTTTCAAAGTGCATATTTCTCAACTAAGGACAAAGATTTCCTAAATGGGCACATAGCTCAAGATGCTGAAACAGAAACTACTAGTCCTTACGTCAAAATGCAGCAGTGTGCAGCCAACCAAGGTGGCAGGTGGAATGAAGATACTGGCCCAAAACTGTGATGTCTCCTTAAAGAAATCAATCATAAAAACTGTGGAAACCACCGTGACCTAAGAACAAAAGAAATATCTGTGATACGTTGCTCTCGGAGGCAATATGTGTTCAAATTTGACATCATGAGCAGATTTTCTAGTTCAGACCTCCATTTCATACACCAAGATAAAATCAATGTCATCATTAACGTTCCCTCCTAGGCTTCAGGTGTTTGTTTGTTTGTTTGTTTGTTTGACCGACAAATATATCAAAGGTGGACACATTTCAGGGTCTGGAGTACAGATTAAAAATCTTTTTACATTCTCTTCTAATTACAGAAAAACAAAACTAAAGTTGGGATGAGTGTCTTTGGAGAGGAAAAATCAAGTGAGATATATGCAATCATTAAAGGGCAGTCGTTTTGAAATTATATGAAAACAGAAATTAAAGACTAAAGGGGATTATTTTCCTAGGTATATGAAAAAGAGAAATGCAAGCATGTACCATGCCTTTAAGTGACATGGGTACAGATATCATAGTACAGAGCTCAAAGCTGAGATGTAGGCACGTCACAGATGCTTGCTGCCCCTTCTAAACTACTGCAATGAGTCCTGAGAAATCCTGTGCTGTCTTTTACTTTAAATTGTCATTTTCATGGTAGTCACATGACAATTTCTAAAATCATACTTCTTTTTTTCCCTGTAATTTTATTGATAAACAAATAGCAATGAGACAGTTTCAAAACAAATTGGTAGGACAGTTTCAATAATTAACACATTGCATACATTCTTCTTACTGGTTAATTGCTGTACAAGATGCGGACATGATATCCTATTTACAAACACTATTAGGACAAATCACTCTATTCAATAAGAGAATGTAACTATATATCTATCCTAACCATTTTGAATGCATAGATACAAAATGGACATTCATCTGTATCCCCTTTTTTTGTTAAGTTCCGTTATTTGAATATTATACGTGTGTAAACTCAGCAAAATATTCTAAAAGAGTCCAGTAGCCCATAATAGTATTGAGTCTTCCGCTTCACTGGCAGTGTCAGAAACTGTTGACCTGAGTCCCCTACAGCTCAACATAACAGCATGGCTTTACTTCTTATACTTCGTTTTTATACTTTTCTACTGGATGGTTAAGACCAAGGTAAAGCAGGACCTGTGCAACGAGAGTTGTAGCTTTTGGGTCTGAGAAGGTCAGTGAAATCCCCTCAGGATTTCTCCTGAGATCCTGTACCTCAGATTGTAGAACCTTTGTCAGTGTCAGCCATGGGGATGAGTCACGGCCATTGCTCGGCCAGTGTGCATACTTCTGATTGTATTCCTATTATAAAAGCTTGCCCATCTCCCCTTAATGAAAGGCACATGCCTATACAATAAATTGGTAAATGTACAACTTAAGATTAGACTTGGATCAACTTTCTTAATTTATTTTAAAGAGAATATAGAAATAATAGATAAGACATTAGAGATGATACACATATTTAAAAAAAAACAGGATGAAAGGTATTCACCCATGGTTGTTATATTGCACACTGCTGTCTCTTTTCTTAAAATTTTTATTTTATTTTATTTTGAAGAGTAGAAACAAAAGCTAAACAGATAGCAGATACAAAGACAAAAACATGGGCCAGGGAGATAGCTCAGTAGAATAAGTGCTTGCCTGGCAAGTGCAAGATCTCTGAGTTCAATCCCCAGTATCACACACACACACACACACACACACACACACACACAAAAGACAGAAACAGGGTAACATACAACAATATATATGTTGCAGATTTTCAAAACAAGAATAGCAAATTAACAGTGGTTGCTATATTACCTATTTTTATTGTCAAATCTGTTGGGTACATTAACAGGTATAGTTATGCAAGATTGGACAAATAATTGAGTATTAATACTTGCTTGTCTTTTTAAAGAGAGTAGAATAATAATTGATGAGACATTATAAACAGTATACATTTAGAAGACCAAGATGAGGGGTATCAACCATGGGGTTTGTATTACACATTGCTGTCCTCGATGTAGTTGCTCAGATTGCAGATATCAGCATACAGAGTTAGCCAAATTGAAAATTATAAACATTAATTTCCATTTAAAAAAACTGATGGAAATTATTAGTACAATTATCTCAGCCATCATATATATATATATATATATGATTTTCCCCTTACTTTTTTCTATCATTTCTCCTTTCATTCGTCTTCATTATTTAATCCTTATGCTCAGTTTCTTTTCATTTTACTATATCTATTGTATCTTTCGTGTTTTATTTATTCTTTCAGGTTCTTACATTAGGGAGACAATATGATATTTACACATGTGGGTCTGATTTATTTGAGGGAAATAGCCCTCTAGCCTCTAGTTGCACCCATTTACCTATAAAAGCCTCAAGTTTGTCTTTCTTTATAGCTGAGTAATACTTCATTGTATAAAAATACCACATCTTTGTCATCCATTCCTCAGGTTATTGGCATTTTGGTTGTTTCCAAGATTTGGCTATGACAGATTGTGCTGCTACAAACATGGGTGTGCCTAATCACTATGGTATGGTGTTTTAAGTTCTTTTGTGTAAATACCCAGAAGAAGAATAGTTGGATTGAATAGGATTTCTAGTTCTAGTGTTTTGAAGAGCCTCCACACTGATTTCCATGGTAGTTGTACCAGTTTATATTCCCACCTACAGTGAAGAAGGTGAAGAAGGGTTCCTTTTTCCCCAGAGCCTCTCCAGCATTTGTTATTAGTTGATTTCCTTATGACAGCCATTCTTTCTGTGGTGAGATGATATCTCAATGTTCTTTTAATTTGCATTTTTCAAATGACCAGTTCTGTGGTCATTTAAAAAGTATTTTTTTCATGTATTTATTTGCCATTTATATTTCTTCCTTTGAGAAGTGTGTATTTATCTCAGATGCTTATTTTTGGATTGGGTCTTTATATTTTTGGGGCCTGATTGTTTCAGTTCTTCATATATTCTAGATAGAGGTTCTTTGTCTCAGTGATTGTTGATTAAGATGTTTTTCCAATTTGTGGCTTGTCTTTTCACTTTGTCGGTGATTTCTTTTGACATTCAGAAACTTCTCAAAAAGATGAAGTCCTGTTGTTGATTCTTTGAAGTATTTCTGTGCAGTTTGGATTTTGTTCATGAACTCTCTGCCTATCCCTATGCCTTCACAATTTCCACCTATTCTCTCTTCTAGTAGATTAGCGTATTTGTTTTAATATTTAGACCTTTAATCCACTGTGACTTTAGTTCAGTACATGGCGATAAAGCCAGGTCCATTCTCTAGTTTTAGTTTTTAATTTTAGTTTCTGGCATATGGAGAGCCAGTTTTTCCAACACCATTTTTTAAAGAGGCTATCTTTCATCCAGTAGACATTCTTGGCCCTTTTGTCAAAGATAAAGTGGCTGAGTGTGTTTGAATTTTTAGCTTCATCTTCTAATCTGTTCCATTGATCCTTGGGTCTGCTTTTGTTTTGTTTTGTTTTGTTTTGTTTTGTTTTGTTTTGTTTTTTTTGCCAGTACCATGTTAATTTTATCAAAGTAACTTTAGAGTATAATTTCAGATCAGGGATTGTAATATCTTCTGCCTTGTCTTTGTTACCCAGGATTGCCTTTGCTATTCTAGGTTTTTCTCTGGTTTCAAATAAATTTTAGAAATGATTTCTCTAAATCTGTGAGGTAAGTTGATGGTATTTTGATAGGGATTGCTTTAAATCTGTATAGCAATTTTGGGAGTATGGTCATCTTCACAATGTTGGTTCTTCCTATCCAGGAGCAAGGAATATCTTTCCATTTTCTGAAACTCTTCAATTTTTTTCAGAGTATTATAATTTTCATTGTATAGATCTTTTACTTTCTTTGTTAGATTAGTTCCTCAGTATTACATTTTTTGGGTGCTATTATGAAGGGTATTATTTTTCTAATTTCTCTCTCAGTGAGTTTGTTATCTGTGTAGAGGAATGGTATTGAATTTAGGGTGTTAATTTTGTATCCTGCTATGCTACTGAATTTGTTTATTAATTCTAGGAGTATCTTGGTGGAGGTTTTTGGGTCTTCCAAGTAGTTTCATGTTGCCTTGAATAATGATAGTTTAACTTCTTCCTTACTTATTGGTATTCCTCCTATTTCTCTCTTCGGTGTAATGGCTCTAACTAATGATCCAGAACTATATTGAATAGGAATGATGACAGTGAACATCCTTGTCTTGTACGTGATTTTTTAGTAAAAGCTTTCAGTTTTTCTCCATATAGAATTACCAACCTTAGCTTTCATTTTAGCTAGGACATGTGGGTTTTGCCTTGTGCCTCGTTCATACATCACCAGGTTCTCAGCATTTCTTAGGATCAACCTGATTTCTTCCTTCTTCTTTGCTGCTCATCCATTATTTTCTGTTTGATTATCTTTCTCTACCAATTGAAATGTTTCTTTTCTTTAGGAAGTCTTCCTGGCACACAATTCATTTTCAGCGATTAGAATTCAATTCATTACTGGATTTCATAGATTTTTTTCCTTTAAATCACTCAATGTGTAGATGCTCTTCCTCAGTGAATAATCATGTTTTTAATATCTTACTGTATAAATACCTGCTTATCTATTTCCCTTTTAGGGCTCTTTAAAAATAGTGTTATTGTGGGCTGGCCAAATAGTGCCGCAGATTAAAGTGCCTGTGAGCAGGTGCAGGGGCCAGAGGTTTGATCCCCGGGCCTGCCTTGCAGGCCCCGCCCCCGGGGACGTGCTACATGGCAATTGAGACTGGATATGGTGGCTCACATCTGTAATCTTGGCTCTTAGGCGGGTGTAAACAGGCAGATCACTATGAGTCTGACCTAGTAGTGAGATCCTGAACACCCTGTAGACCCTTCCCTAAAATACAAAACAAACAAACAAACAAACAAACAAACAAAAAATGGATTTATGGATGTTATAGCTGTTATCACTCCTTAGTCTCAAAGCTTGACACACAGGGATATTTTAAAAATACAACAAGTTCAATAGAAAAAAAAATATGTAATTTATAAGTATTTTCCCTCCTAATTTTATGGAAAGAATTGATTTTTGTCAAGGATTCTAAATGAAGAACTTGGAGAATTAGTTTTCAGTTTTAGCCCTTCCATTAATGTTATTTATAATCTTCTGCTTCTTTCCAGGGGCCTTTGACCTCATTTACTTTTTCCCCTAAGAAGAATATCAAAATAATTTATAGGTTTCTTCCAAACTCCAAATTTTAAGGTCTTTTAAGCAAGTCGGATGTTCTCAAGACAAAAACAAAACAAACACCCAAGCTGGATATGGAGCAAGAAGCATATTTAAAAATGCATGTTCTCACAATTACATCATATATCCCTAAAAATTGGCCAAAAAATATAGCAGAGCTCTTTTAAGTGTGACATTATTTTGTAGCCAGGAAAACAGAGCAGAAGTATTTTAAGTGAAACATTATTTTACCTTATGTATACCAAAATTGACCGTGCTATCTCTTATCTTCATAATAAACACATTCACAGTAATGATACTTACAAAATAGAAGCAAAACGACCAGATGCCACTGTTTTTTCGCCCACCACGAAAAATGAATGAAATCACATATGTCATGAAGATAATTGATAGGGAATAGCCAACAATATATAGAATCTGAAATTAAAGACAAAATTAAGAATATTGAAGACAAATCCAGTCCAGGAAACCATTCAAATCCAAATCCTGTCATACAGTCAGACTTTAAAAAAACTATTTCATCTAGAATACTTTAATATCATTTACATTGTTTAAAGGAGTGGTGAGAGCAAAGTTGTAGGCCAGGCAGCTCCAAATTCTCAACTCTCAACAGAAATATAAAAAATAGGAAGAGCTAGTGGGACCAGCTTTGTTGGAAACCACTATATGTGTCAAAATTTCATGGAAAATTCTGAATTAATAGAAAGTCCATTTCAAGTTGACAGGAGTACTTCAGCATGTTCTGATTTTCCTTTTGCCTCTCTGCCTCCGCAGCTTAGCACAGTCTGAAGATGCCTGCCTGTGTTTCCAATAGAAGATCCTAGTCCAGATAGAACACAGCTAATTTTGTTCTTAAGTTTCTGTAAAAGTCTGACCTAACCTGCTTAAGAACTATCTGAAAGATGGGTTCAAGCATCTGGTCCTGCTTCATTCAGAATGGAAAAGGAGGAAATATTGCTCCAAAACAACATAAAGCTAAGAAACATTCTGAAGCAGCCTAAAGAAAGATAGAATAGTTGAGACATAAAATAGATCAGCCTAAGCATAAGGAAAAATTCTAAGATGAGTTTCACAGGGAAATAAAAGTGTTGACAAGCATCCATATGTTCTGGGATATTTAGAAAGTCAGGCATATACTTAGGCAGAATGTATGCCCATAAGAGACATGAGAGGAACTTGGGTTTAGACAGAGAGTTAATCTCTAGGCTTCATGCAAGCCTGCCTAAGTGTTGAAGGAGTTCCAACACAGAGCCTATCTGGGTTGGACTGGAAAATCTTTTTGAGTCTCTGTTTCTCAAGGAAATCTCTTATAAATCACAAGTTGAACTAGATAAAGGAACAGAGGTTTCAGTGACAGTTACCACATGAGACTGAGCATACAGTCTGTAACAGTGTTTTAGAAAATACCCTAGCAAAAGGTAAATATAGCCTGTAACAACAAAAATTAGCCAGTTCTTTTTTTGTATTTTAGTAAGGGTCTACAGGGTCTACAGGGTCTACAGGGTCTATCTACAGGGTCTACAGGGTCTACAGGGTCTACAGGGTCTACAGGGTCTACAGGGTCTATCTACAGGGTCTACAGGGTCTACAGGGTCTACAGGGTCTATCTACAGGGTCTATCTACAGGGTCTACAGGGTCTACAGGGTCTCACTACGCAGATCAGACTCATAGTGATTCTTCTGTATTCAGCCTCCCAAAGATCTGGGATTACAGGTGCATGCCACCAAGCGCAGTCTTAAAAATATCCAATTCTGAACCATGAGTTGGGGGGGGGACCTATTATCTAGACCTACCAGATTGGAAATTCAAGTGTCCACATTTCCCCCTGAAATCTAAAACATAAATAGACAAATGTGTCCTAAATTCAAAAGAACAAAGTAATAATAAAAAAAAACTCTGAAGAATTCTAGATATTGAACTTTTGAAATGACAACTTTAACAAAATATATTACATATATTCAAAACAACTAAAGAAACCCATGGAGAAAGAAGTAAAGAAAATAAAGCAAAGTACATATAAAAAAGAAAGTATTAAAGAATATAAATTATAAAAGTGAACCAAAACAGAAATTCTAGAATTAAAACATACATTATCTGATGTGAAAATTTCACTAAAAACATCATTGGTATATTGAGTTGGAAACAGAAAGTCAGTAAGCTTGAACACAGTACATTAAAATTATTCAGTCTGAAATGTAAAGAAAAAAAATCAAAGAAAAATTCATGGAGCATAAAAGATCTTTGAACTAATACATACATCTAGAAGATCAAGAAAAGAAGAAAGATGAAGACAGAATATTTCAAGAAACAATAACTGAAAATTGTCCACATTTCATCAAGCCCTGGAATGTACACATCTAAGGAATTACCAAACTACAAATACATAAAAAGGAAAAAAAAAGTCATATTAAAATAGTTTGATCTCAACTGTATATTCCACAGTTGATACATAAAGACAAAAAGGGAATCTTGAAAAAAGCAGAGGTAAATCGCTCATTACATACATGAAGAGTCCCTAGTACAACTGAATTACTAATATAACTGAAAGATAATTTTGGGTTTGTGCTGTTGGGTTGTGTGGAAAAAGACGCCATCAGTGACAACAACAGCATGGAGGAGGCTGAAATCCACGGTTGAAGCAGACCAGAGTACATCTAATACATGGGTGTTCATATCAGCATTACTCATAGTAGCCTGCAAAGGGAAACAACTCCAGTGTCTATGAACAAGTAAACTACATACAGTGAGATAGTATTTAGCCATAAAAGGGAATGAAGTTCTGTCACATGCAACTTTAAAAACATTTTGCTATGCAAAAGCCCCCAAAGGACAAATATCATGTGAAATATTTAGGATAGGTAAATTCATAGAGATTGAAAGTAGATTTGAGGTAACCCAGACCTGGGAATAGCAGGAAATGCTTAATGAGCACAAAGTCTTTCTGGGTGGTTAAAAATGTCATTAAATTGCGATTTGCATAAAAGAATGGTTAAAATGGCAAATTTTATGTTATGTGCTACACAACAATTTATAAACCTTAAAAAGTAAACAAATATTGAATGCATGCATTATATTAAGGCCAATATTTTTTATTAACTCGTCTAATTTTTTTATGGATACTGTCACTTACCTGAATAAATATATCAGCAGTAGTATATATATCCCCTTGGAGTTTTAAGGCATAGAATGCTACATACATCAATAAAATGAGTGATAAGTAGATTCCAACTTCAACCAGAGCCTGTCCAAACCAGTAAGCAGAAGGGATCAGGCCTGAAATCCACAACTGGAACTGAGCTTTGTTCTGAATAAAGTGAGAGGTATAAATGAATGTTGAAATTTGCTTTTATAACATATCAGCAAACATTGAGCATATAATGCACATTGAAAACAATGAAATGAATTCTCAACAATTCCAAAGACAATGAAATGAGTTCCTCATCATTAATAGAAATGAACAGCTTATCTACAAATGCCTTCTAGAATAATGAATATCAATAATTTTGAAACGAATATAGCCAACTTGGGTGGTAATTAACGAGATGATCACTCAAAATCTTGGATAGAAATTTGGAAAAGGCCTCCGAATAATGACATTAATCCATGCTACAGTGAATTAAACAGTGACTCGGAGCCAGAAGGGGAAGACGTAGCCACCTAAGGATTAACTTTCTGTGACATCACCCACCTTTGACCGCCATGCAAGACAATGCAGTTTTTTCTTTTTTTTTTTTATTTTATAGCTTTTTTTTATTTTTTATTTTTATTT